ATTTATTATTTTCTGCTGCTGTATAATTGGGTGGGCATATATTTAAAATTAGATGCATTATGGGAAGGACATGTTCAGTAAGAAAAATGAATAGAAGGCCTATACTATCAGAGTAGAAACTACACACTAGAAGCCAGCCCCTCTTTCCCTTGAACCCCATAAAAGGAAGCCCCTTGAGTATTTTCACTCATGCAGCCTGCCTTCAATTTGAACAGTCGCCCCTCCCCCTTAATCTGCAATATCACTTTGCTCCATGCCCTTAATTCCAGCATTCAGGGGGCTGAGGTGGGGGCAGGTGTTGGGATAGAGGTCTACATAGTGAGTTCCAGGACAGCCCGAGAGGCCCTATCTCTACACCCCCCCCCAAAAAAAAACCAAAAACAAACAAAACAAAAAAACAAAAACCAAACAAACAAAAAAATCAAAATGGAGTCACTCATGCTAAAGTTCCATGTAACCAAGATGAAACCCATCTGTTTATCTGTCCCTTCCAGAGGGCTGGACTAAAGAAACTGCACCCAGTTTCAATTAGCAAGATAATGAAGGTCCTCTGCCTTAATCCTTCCACAAAGAGGCAGCCTGGAGTAACCGCCTGCTCACTAATTATTTCATGGTGTTCTGTAGCCCTGCCCAAGTGGAAAGGTAATCTGGTGGTCTGGTTGGTTTTTAAAAACAGGGACTTGTGGGTTCCAGGCTGGCCTCAAGCGTGTAATACAGTTGAAGGTGACCTTGAATGTCTAATCATCTTGCCTAGTGCTGAGTGCTGAGATGAGAGGTGTGTGCCACCATATCTGGTTTATCTTGAGCTGGAAATTGAACTCAGGGCTTTATGCATGATAGGCAAGCATCCTGTCACTGGAGCCACACTGCCAGCACTATTCAGTGTGCCTTTCTTTCCTCCCATCCCTGTAGTCACTACTCTCTGCACCTGTGGATTTGGCTTCTGTAGACATCACATATAAGTGAGATCACTCAACATTTGTCTGTCTACACTCTGATTGTTTCGGTTAGCAAAATGTTGGGGGCCTATGTTACTGCAAATGGCAAAGCCTTGCTCTTTCAAACTGGTTAATATTGTGTTGTGCATACAGAGTGAACTCCTGTTAGCCACTTTTTGTTGCTTGGTTTTGTTTGTTTGGTTGGTTTTGTTTGTTTCTTTCTTTCTCTTGAGACCGGGTCTCACATAGCTTGTGCTAACCTCAAACTCATTATATAGCTGAGGTTGACTTTGAACTCCTGATATTCCTGCTTCTGCGGACCAAGTTCGAGATTGCAAACATGCAGTACCACACACCCAGCTAAATCACTCTTGATGGACATCTGGCTGTTTCCGAATCTTAGCTATTATGGGCTAATTCTGCAGAGAACATAGGGGTACGGGTATTTCTTCAAGACACTCCTTTCCATTTCCTTTGGGTCTCCAGCCAGAAGGAGTCAGGATCATATCATCCTGGTTGCAGTATTTCAATGAATCACCACGCTGCTTTTAACGGCAGCAGTACCAACTCTGAAATTAAGCTCGACGATGGGCTTGCTTTTGTTGTTCCACACAATTCTAAGGAGGAGGGAGAGGCGACTTAGAACTAAGCCACTGTTTCTGGAAGGATAAACTGGTATTTTGATCCCTCTTGACACCCAGTCTCTACCAGCTCCTCCCTGGACTGCTCGCCTGGGTTGCATTACCTGGGCTCCTGGCTCTGAGCCTGACTGGGACTAGTCAGGGGGAAGATGCTGGTTGGAATCTGAAGAGGAAGAGTGGAGGTAGCTATTTTCCCAGCAGCCTCCTTGTACATGGTTTAGAAGTGGCCGTGTTTCTCTGATGATGGCTGCAGCTTCTGTCCCTTGACTCTTCCTCAGCCTCAGCTCCAGGAGACAGGGAATCTCATGCCCCTCTGAGATATCCAGAGAGATAATAGCTGCTGTAATTTCTTCTTTTTTTTTAATTTATTTCTTTTATTTATGAGTACACTGTAGCTGTCTTCAGACACACCAGAAGAGGGCATCAAATCTCATTACAGATGGTTGTGAGCCACCATGTGGTTGCTGGGATTTGAACTCAGGACCTCTGGAAGAGCAGTCAGTGCTCTTAACCACTGAGCCATCTCTCCAGCCCCCGCTGCTGTAATTTCTGATGATGAGTGTCTCTCTTATTGTTTGCCCCTGTGAATGGTCCTTTTTCTTGAGCTCTCTGGCTTCTACCAGGGGGTCTCGCTGATATCCTGGATATGTGTAGGATGACACAGCCTGTTGAGTATAGCTTCCTTTGGTGACCCACAAGTCAAGTCTATAAGAGTTTGGATGAACAAGGTTGGGAGAACTCAGCATGTGCAGGATTTGTGGGTACTGTATACAGTACAAACTCAGATCTGTGAGCTGAAGTGTGAAGGCAGCAGGGGCAGCATGGACGACCATCCTTTGGATGTTTGAGACAGTCAGACATGAGACAGCCTATGTATTTATCCACTCAAAGTAAACATTTTAAAAAGAGCACTGATGTTTGCTAAGTGGTAATTGGTATTTGAAAAATCAGCTTTCCTCGACTTGATGATTCAGCTAGCAGGTCCTTTGCCAAACTGGGTTGCTGAGCAAATTCTACTTGGAAAATTAGTTCACTCCTGTCAAAGCCAGATTCTCCCTGACCAAAGGAAGACTGAACTTGACCAGCTGGCTCAGGATAAGTTTGTCTGGGTGTCTGTGTTCAAGGGTTGCTCCCCTGGAGTGTCTTCCAAGATGGGGCAATGGAGGACAGACCCCCACCTGAGGTATCTTCAACCTCAAGCAGGCAAGTAAAGCTGCCCGGTGACACAGACCAGAATCCATCATGGTTAGGATAATCTTTGGCTAGAAAGGGATTCAGTCTCAAGAGTCTAAAGGAGGAGCACGGAGGAGCTTTCAGGACACTCAGGGTGGCTTGAGAGAACAGGGAACAGGTCATAGTGGGAACTGAATGACCAGTAAGACTGGACCAGGGCCAGAGCCATAGGGTCAGGGAACTAAGTCCATCTCTGGACAGTTCGGCCTCTCCTAGTCCTTCTATTTTTCCTGGCCAGGCATTTGGGGGTGTGTGTCTGGGCAAAGGGTAGTAGTGTGACATCACTGGAGTGCTCACCCGGAGACAGTGTCCTAAAAAGAGCAGCGTCCCTGGGCAGTGGGGCCTGAAGGGCAGGGGAAAGGGACAGCACCTTGGGCTGTGTGGGCTGACTTTTGAAAAGAGTCTGTTGGGGCTGGTGAGCTTCAGAGAGGCTGAGAACTAAGCAGGGGTCTATAGGGAGGGGTCCAGAAGCCATTCTAAAGCTGGCAAGGGGATAGCAAGGAAGGACCCTTATGAGAGTAGGGATCACATGCACCTCAATGGAAACAGGGTCTTTGATGGTTCCTGAAGAATCTCCATGCATTTTGAAGCCCCACCTCCACCAGCTGTACACTCCTTTCCCAGCCTAATACCCCAAGTGGAAGGGATACACGGAACTTTGTCTTAAGTGGGGAAAGATAAGGAGGACTGGACCTACCTCACTTTCATGGTCATTTTCTCACCATGAGAATATGTGTGTGTGTGTGTGTATGTATGTATGCATATATATATATACATATATATGTATATTAATATATATGTATGCGCAGTTATGCAAGTAGCAAAAATCACATTCTTGTGTTCTTTTCTCTCTTTTAAAAATGTCTTTGTGTGTGTGTGTATACATTGTGTATATGAACACAGCAGGCATGTGTGTGCTATGACACGTGCGTGGTCAGAGGACAACATAGGGTATCAGCCCTCACCTACCACCTTGTTTAAGACGGAGTACATACCAGGCTAGCTAGTCTACAAGCGTCCTGGGGTCTCCTGCCTTTGCCTCCCATCTCTCTGTACTAGTTGTAGGATTATGGACACTCCCTACTGCAGCTGACTTTATGTAGATCCTGGGGATTTGAACTCAGGCCCTTTGGCTTATGTGGTGAGTGCTCTGCCCACTGAGTCATCATTTCCCCGGCCTTCTTTTTCTTAAGAAGGGCTCTTCCAAATTATGTGTCTGTCCACTTGTCCCCTAAGGACATAGCAATGATATGTATGGGGCTTGGCTATGTGACTGGAGGTCCTGCTGCCCACAGCATCCTTTAACCACATCCCAGGGCCTGCCAACACCACACAGGAATGTGAGGTGGCCTCGGCTCTAAAGGGCATGGGCTATACGGGCCCTGGGTCTGGTAAACACTAATTAAGTCCTGTCATACCTAGCAGGACCGGTTTGAGGGATGAGAGAGGCTTCACAGGGAGGAGGCCTTAGCCATAGTCTAGATTATGTGAATGGGAACATTGGATGACCTTCTGGCCCTGTCCCTAGGCCAATGGAGTCCATACCCCTCAGCTCTTTTGCTCCAAGGGGTCTAACATCCCAGCTGTACCTTAGACCCCTGCCATAGCGAGTAAGGCCTACTGCCTAGAGGAACTTCTTTGATGAGCAGGAGGGAACAAGCATTTACAGAAGCTTGTATACTTGACCCACTGACTATCAATGACACAGCCAGGAAGGTGTAGCTATCCCATTTTATAGATGAAGAAACTGAGGCTTTGTTTGGACTAGTGATTAAAGGAGGTAACATGTGGAATGCGGCTTGAGGGATCTCTGACTATCTTGAGTAATGAGGGAGGAAGCCTAACCCTCTGCATCTGACATACCAGGAAGCTGTAGAACTGCTCCTTGGGGGAATTCTAGTTAGAGACAGATCTCCCCAAGTGGTGATGGGGTCTTCTGCCTCATTGTCTAGGATGTGAAGAGTTAAGTGGCTACTGCTAAACTCAGACTTCCCCAGAAGCTGCACCCCAAAGTACAAAGTGGCCAGGATGCTCCCATGGGCTGGCCACCCCAGTTCTGGGTAAACTGGGAGCTAGGATGAGTGGAAGTCAGCTGACTGATGACCACATGGGTCAATGCTGTGCTCTCCAGATGGTCAGCCAACACTCTGAGCCTCCTGTCCAGGGGCAACTACAAGGCTGTTCTGTTGGGGCAGGGTCCTTGGAAATGGGACAGGCAGCGGTGCCTGTCCACTTGTGCCTGACCTCAGGGGGGGTGCTTTGGTGCTAGGCTTTAAAAGCCTGACTAGGCCATAGTGGGGACCCTGACAGGGAGCCCAGAGGCCTTGTTATCAGGTACACATCAGTGCTCAGATTTAGAGAGCTTAGATTTCAGCCAAGACCTGGCAGGACTGTTGTCCCCAAGTGCTATTCTCTCACAGCTCCTTGCCCTGGGTACCAGACCTGTTCAGATCTGACCTCTCTAGTTCTGTCTTTTATCGCTGCTTCCCAGGGTCCTTGTTAGAGGGTGTAGGTAGGGGCTCATTGAAAGAAGGGTTGTGCACAGTACTGGGGTAGCCCCACCCAGGCTCTGATCTGACTCATCTGCTCAGCTGGCTGGGTAAGGGCTTGGTGCCCTGGAGCCTGACAGGCTGTAGTAGGCATATATAAAAGCATGCTCTTCCAGTCCGAGGAGCTTTATCTGTCACTGCCTGCTGCTGCAAGATGCTGGGAGGCCTGGGGAAGCTGGCAGCTGAGGGCCTGGCCCACCGCACGGAGAAAGCCACTGAGGGAGCAGGTAAGGACCTGGGCTTTCTATCTGCCCAGAAGTTGGTGGCAGACTCCTCTGGGTCTGTTGAGAGTTGATTCCAGTAGGCAGGAAAGAATCTTTGGGTAGGCTGAGGCTGAGTTCCATCAGGAAGCTTGGCCCTCACCAGGAGATAGCGAAGTTGGAGCACGGAGGCTGGGATAGTTGCTCAGAGAAGAGTCACTGCCCAAGCAGGCTTCCTACTAGGGATTTGATCAAGAGTAGGCCAACCCCAAGGAGACTCCAGGAGGCCAGCAGAACCCAGGTTCTAGGAGAGGAACAGGTGGCTTGGGTCCTTCATTCTGGAAGCCTAGAGTACCTTTTACGTTAGTTAGTACTGCTTATTTCAGGGTCTGAGGCTGTAGCTTGGTGGTAGAACATTTGTCTATGCAAGGCTCTGGATTTTTGCAAGAACTATAAAGCAAAATGAAAAAAAAATCCTGCCTAGTTAGATCAGTTTATGTAGAAAAATAAGAGGGTGGATTTTTATTTTCACCATACTTTAAAGCTTCAAAGGTTCTTTTATTATGAAACCATGGAGCTCAAAGTCTAAAACGTCTTTTTATTTCTTCCAAGAACCTACGACATGGTTCTGCCAGTCAAGGTCTGTCGGTACGTGTTCATACGAGTCCCAACCGGGACACAGATAAACACCTGTGTCAAGTTGGTGATCTCTGTGGAAACGGCTGTGGTAGACATATCAGCACTTACTTCATTCTTAACCCAGCAGGGATCTGACCCTCTTCTTCTCCTTCTTTTTCTTCCTCTTTTTTTTAAAAAAGAATTATTTATTTATTTATTTTATTTATATGAATACATTGTAGCTGTCTTCAGACACATCAGAAGAGGGCATCGGATCCCATTACAGATGGTTGTGAGCCACCATGTGGATGCTAGGAATTGAACTCAGGACCTCTGGAAAGTGCAGCCAGTGCCCTTAACTGCTGAGTCATCTTTCCAGCCCCTGACCCCCTTCTTAATCTTCCAGCCTTCTGAGTTGTGAGGGACACAGCAATAGAAGGTGGTATTAGAAGTAGTTCTGTCTCTGCAATTTGTGTTCTAGCATGCTCTCACAACCCCCTTTCCCACCCCCCCAACCTGGAGGTAGGTAGGGATACTGTCTTCCAGAAAGCGCTGCCTTGAGGAGCTCAGCTTCTCTGGGGATGTCCAGGTATTGCTGAAGTAGGACAGTCAGCTCTTCCTGACTAACTAGCTGACTGACCAACAAACCTACTTTGGCTCAGGTTTCCAGCTGGCTGTTCTAGGTATCCATGCCCTTCCTTGCTGAGGGGAGCGGCACGGAGGGCTCTGCACATCTCCAGCAGCCAGGGGTCTTGTCAGACTATGAAGGGAGGCAGCTAGGGGTTCTTTTAAGTTGGGAGCAGCATATCAGAGTCTTATTGTCTAGAGGCATCAGATCATCACGAGGGAAGTGGGCTTACATATACCTTCACTCTGAATTTGTCCTCTCTTTTCAGTTCACGCAGTGGAGGAGGTGGTGAGTGAGGTGGTGGGCCACGCCAAGGAGGTTGGAGAGAAAGGTAAGGCTCAGGTTGTTTGGAGATGGGAAATAAGGGAGGAGGAAAGAAGGAGAGAATCGAGGAAGGAAAGGACAGAGGGCTGGGTGTAGCCTAACCTGTGAAGTAGTTGCATCCCCACAATGGGAACGGAAGTAGGGAGGGAGGAAGGATGCCCACGTGTCGAGTGTTAATCCTTTTCTTGCTCAACTAGACCCAGCCCTGCCCCAGATGTAGCAGCCTCTCAGCTGGGATGCAATTATCTGCACAGTCTCCCCATCTGCAATTATCTGTAGGTTGTACCTTGTGTTAGACTCCATCCAGGCTGTTTTCTCTGTGGAATGTTAAGAAGACAATACTGCAAAAAAGCAATGTGGCAGCACATAGGGACAGAACATTGAAACTAGACAATCATGTATTTAAATATGTATGTATATAAAACTTTACTCTGTATGCGTTACGCTGTGAACAGAGCAGTGTACAAAACATGTCACTTCCACCCTCTACAACCAAGCAGAGTCCAGCTGGAAGAGGAATTACATTTAAATATATGAATATATTAAACTGTTAGGCTGTAATTGTTTAAGCTCAAACAGCTAAAATGAAGTGCCATGAATTCATCGGTTTGTAAACAGCAGAATTCATTGTTTCTGTAGCCAGACATAGTGGATGGGGCTTGTCTAAGATCCCAGAACTGGAGAGAATGAGGCAGAAAGATTGTGAGTTTGAGGCTATCCTGGGTGACGTAGAAAGCATCACCAAGAAAGAAGAGGCAAAATAAGGAAAAGAAATGTGTTGCTCTGGGCACTGAAGTCTGAACCCCCCCCCCCACCCCCGTGGCAGCAGAGGAGCATCTGGTGAAGTTGTGGCACCTTTCTGTCATCTCACATCTCACATGGCGGTACTAGCTTGCTTTCCTGGGTGTTGCCCCTCTTGCTCACGAGGCTCCATCCACCCCACTAAGCTAACCAGAACCCTGCCTCTCGCCTCTACACGGGACGATTTTGAGGAGGATTACAACATGGAATTTTGGGAACACAAAGATTCAGAGTGTCATAAGAGACGTTAGTACAGTCTTGGCGAGGGGAGGCTCTTTTTGACTGAGATTTAAAAAACAAAAACAACCCAGTAGTCATAAAGAAAATATTAGATAAGTTTGTCAATATTGAACTTTACTATTTTACATAGGAAGGGCCAGTGGGGAGAACACAAGAAGCAAAGCAAAATGAAAGCTAAGTCAAAAGGAAGGCCACAGACTGTGATAAAATAACAGAAACAAAAATCCAATGTAGTAATCAACATGAAACTAGTCAATAGTTTCCAGAAAAATGAAGTGTAAGTCGCCAGTACACACAGAGCTGTTAGTGATGCCTCATTCAGATGTGAAGAGACGGTTTGAAGGTTGACAGAGTGGGGGGTGGGGTTTCAAACCAAGTTAAACTGACAGAAGCACTTTGCCCTTTGTGTGTGGTCAGAGGTGCTGCTCCAGTGTTGACCCTGTAAAATGGCCTCACCACACAGGCCTCTCCTGCTGGAAGCGCAGTGGCTCACTCACACAATCTTCTTTTCTTTTTCTTTCTTCCCTAACAGCCCTTACTGATGCCCTAAAGAAAGCCCAAGAGTCAGGGGACAGGGTGGTGAAGGAGGTCACTGAGAAGGTCACCCACACCATCACTGACGCTGTCACCCATGCTGCAGAAGGCCTGGGGAGGCTGGGACAGTGAGTCCGCCCACCGGCATGGCGGTCCTTCCTGAAAGTCAATAAAAATCATGAAATGTGAAGAGTCCTGAGTTTACTCCTTTTGGATGGAATCCCTGGCCAAAATAGTTTTTGTCGTGTTTGCTTTGGACATGAGGTCTTATGTGGAGTGGGCTGTCTGGAACTCACTTGCTGTGTAGCTCAGGCTGACCTTGAAGTCTTGCATTGTTTGCCACCATCCTGAGTGTGGGATTGTGGACAAATGCCACCAGGACTAATTTTTTTTTTTTAATGGAAATGCTGCACATTGCCAGCTTCCTTTCTGCAGTGGGAGGCACCCAACATACCTGCCTGTTATGGTAATTTCTTACCACAGTAAGTCCGCATATAAAAACACACAACCCAGTCATTATATTTATAAGCTGTATGCCTAGACTTGGCAGATGTATCACTATATTAATTTATTCCCGAGCTATGAGATCCCTCGCTACTTGTGGCTTCTCCAGGCCATGTGGTTCTGCTCCATCTTCCACCTCCTCTTCCTCTGCCCTCTCTCCTGCTCCCACTCTCTAAGGCCCCCAGTCCCACCCTTCCCTTCCACGGCCCAATCATCTGCTCTATCCTTTATTCAGATAGCACCACCTGCCACCTCCTGAATCAGATGAGGAACTATTATTCTAGCAAGTTCTTTCTCTCCCTCTCCCTCTCCCTCCCCCTCCCCCTCTCCCTCTCCCTCTCCCTTTCCCTCTCCCTCTCCCTCTCCCTCCCTCTCTCTCTCTCTCTCTCTCTCTCTCTCTCTCTGTGTGTGTGTGTGTGTGTGTGTGAGTGTGTGTGTGTGTGTGTGTGTGTTTTGAGACAGGGTCTCTCACTGGCCTGCAACTAGCCAAGGAGACTAGGCAGGCTGTCTCCACTTCTGCAGCACTGGGAACACAAGTATGCATCTTCAGTATGGCTGCTTTATGGGGTGGGTTCTGAGGACCGAGCTCAGATCCTTATGACTGCTCAGCACGCCCTTTACCTAGGGACTTATGGAACCTTGAACTGTTAGTCTTTTCCAGGACTCTCTTTTCCTTTTCTTCCCTTCTCTGGGCTGCTTGCTCTGAAAGGCATTCATGCTGGGCAGATGGCACCCTTATTGAGAAAGTCCACTGTTTCTGGAGGCTCCTGTTGGACTCCATTTGGAGACCTGTGGCTAAGACATAGGTAGTCGGTGGCAGTGGCTCTCCTTCCTCTCATGAGTGACTTACCACTTAAATACATGTGTGAGACTGGATGTGAATGCACAGACCTGGAATATCCACATTCAGGAGACAAGGCAGGGGACCAGGAGGACAAGGTCAAACCTCAGCTATACAGTGAGCCTGAGGCCAGCCTGGGCTACATAAGACATAAGACCCTGTCAACAAAAAACAAAGAAATAGTGTGTAAGTAGGCATCTTCTAGAAGTTTTGGAACTGAAGCTGATTGTGGTGGTACATGCTAGAAATTCCAGCCCTTGGGAGGTAGAGGAAGGAGGCTGAATTCAAAGCTAGCCTGGGCTACATGAAAATCTGCAAAAACAGGGGCTGGAGACAACATGGGCAAAGTGCTTGCTGCACAAGCTTGAGGACCTGAGTTTGAGTCCCCGGCCTCCAAGACCCAGAGGTATAGGAGCAGAGACAGGTGCGTCCTGGAGTCTTGCTTGCCAACCAGTCAAGCTGGAAGAAGTGATGAGCTACAGGTCCAAGGAGAGACAGTGCCTCAAATATCAAGGTGATGTGTGCTACGAGGAAGACACCTACACCAGCCTCTGGTCTCCACAGGTGCCTGGGCTAGTGTACCTGTACACACATGTGCAACATGCATGGGTCACACACATACACACACACACCACACTGGTGATACACATTTTTGGGGAGCATAGATTAAGAGAAATTCTGTGTAAACTATGATTTTTATTTATTTTGCTGGGAGCTATTTGCTTTTAGCAGAAACAATGAGAACAAGGAGAAAAGATTTTTTTGGTTAAAGAATAAAAAGTTGTTTTTCAAGACAGGGACTCTCTGTGTAACCTTGGCTGTCCTGGATCTCACTCTGTACATCAGGCTGGCCTCACAGGGATCTGCCAGCCTCTGCCTCCCAAGTGCTGGAATTAAAGATATGTATTCCACCCCCTAACACCCCTATCCCCTGGCTAAATTGGTTTCTTCTAAACCTGAGTCACAGATTTCTACAAGGATCAGGAATATCCAAAGGATCAACACTGGAAATTGTACATTGTCTAGCTAGTGTTGTACTTACCTTGGCTTGGCTCCTGAAGACTTCTGAATTTCCCCAATCCAAACCCAAGCTTGGAGGGCTAAGCGTAGTATGAAGGGAGGTATGAACCAGAAAGGTGCCGGAGGAAAAATGCATTCACTATAACATGCTCATAGCAGCAAGGGCGTGATAGCAAGAGGAAAACATCCGGTAACCAGATACAGTCTACTGAAGTTCCTCAGTCTGGAAAATGAGGTCTGTGCCTGGAAGGCTACTAACCATCCTTGGCTAAAAATACCACCTGTACAGGAAACGGAACATTCCATGTTGGCTACAGAGGAGGAAGGGCTGGGGATGTAGGCCATTGGTACAGTGCTTGCCTAAGACAGGCAAAGCTCGCCCCTGGCTTCAAAGGACAACTAGGGGAATGTAAATATACTGTGTCAACTAAGTAAGTTCCTAAATACATATGCAGAGTAAGTTCATTTTTCATAAGACAAATGACATATAAGGAAAGCATAAAAACTTAACAGCTCATACTCAGCAGTATGAGCAGTAGTACTGTCTGGGAATATGAGCAATTCTCTAGCATTGTATATTTCTCTGATGTCTGATTTTAAGAGGAAACTAATGCAGCTGTTTTAAAATGCGGTTGTGGAGGGCAATACTATGTTCCGGACTGTTCCCTAGTGAAGTGCCGCTGAACGTTCACCTCTTGGGAAGAATGACTGAACATCATTTGGCAGCAGAGCGCTGTGGCATCCTGGACATCCAGGGTGGACTCCATGCAAGATAGCTGCTTAACAGGTTACAGAGGCCAGCTCGCTTTGGTGAACTTGCATGACAAATTTCATGTGAACTAGACCACATGCCATAAGTTAAACAGTGAAATTGTTCTATCTTGGGTTGGTGAGATGGCCCAGTGGATAAAGCGGAACAAGCTTGATGACCTGAATTCAATCCCCGAAACCCACGGGGACAGAACAAACTCCACAAAGCTGCCCTCTGACCTCTGCATGCACACTATGGCATGTGCGTTCCCTTACCCTACAGTAACAATTAAATATTTAAAAAAAAATTGTTCCGTCTTCAAAAATAGTCAAAGTGCTGCCTACATCTTAATTCCCACCCCCCTGCCATTTCCTGAATAAACACTTCTTCTGTCTTTCATTTTCTGCTGTGTAGTAGGCAACGAGGAGCATGAAGTCAGTGTTATCAAAATAATGGTGGTGTCAGCAAAAACAGTGCAGTGCAGTGGGTTCAGCTTGTCTCATTCTGGTTCATCTTCCGCTCCCCTGGTTCCACCACAGCCTAGAAACCCAGTGGTGGGCTATTACAGTGAACGGCAACAGTCCTGAGATTCCAGCACTAGTAAGTTGCAAGTATGATTTCCAGAAGTCCAAGGCCAGACTGGGCTGTAAGAGTCAACAGCCTGTCTCAAAAAGGCTAAACAGAGCCAGGCAGTGGTGGCGCACGCCTTTAATCCCAGCACTTGGGAGGCAGAGGCAGGTGGATTTCTGAGTTCCAGGCCAGCCTGGTCTACAGAGTGAGTTCCAGGACAGCCAGGACTACACAGAGAAACCCTGTCTTGAAAACCCAAAACAAAACAAAACAAAACAAAAAACAAAAAAAAAAAAAAAAAAAACCAGGCTAAACAGCCTACTAGCCCCTGAAAAAGACCCAATGTAGTTGGGAGTTCTTTGAAGATGTCATTTAGTTGGGCATGGTGACATACACATCTTAAATTGCTACACTCTGGATAGAGGCCAGAGGGTCATGAGTTTTTGGTCAGCCTGAGCTATGCAGGAAGACCTAAGGGCTGGGAGTGTAGCTCCATGGTAGAGTACTTGCTAGCATGTGCTAGGTCCTGGGTTCCATTTAGAGTATCACAGAAAATAAGCAGATCCCTCAACTAGAGAGATTTGCCATTGTATGGCTGGGCCACACACCTCAGGAAGAAACACCCACTGCCAGGTTGTCTTTATTTCTCCTGATGAGCAACTCACTTTACACTAAAAGTCTTCATTGGGGGCAGCTGCCCAAACACTCAGATGTCATCCTATAAGTTGGTGGCTGCTAATTGTTTGGAGAAACAATAGGAACTTTGGTGGGAACACTGGGGAATGCTAGGTCGGCAGGGTTGGCACACTCCAACTTATTTCTGGGATCTCGAGACCCCCCTGTGCAGGGCTGTGCACAGACTAAGGACAGACCTGAGAAGCCCAGGTCTTACCTCTGAGGGTTTGGGCCTGATGGTTGAATATGATCTATAGCCTGTACACAGCACTCCTTGGCAATGAAGCCTTACTAGCTCTAGCCTGAAGAAACCTCCCTAATGGCTGACCACCGAAGCTGAGTAAGTAGAAATGTCAGTGACCACATACAATAGACTTCAGATCAGTCAGAAAGGTCATTAAACAAGGGAACAGAGGAGAACAGTCTGATTGAACTGACCACTGGTCCCCAGGAACATCACTACATGTATCAATATGCAAATGTCTGAAAATGTCCCAGGTTGGGTGCAGTTCAGAGCCAAGAGCCTTGCCAGCACCCCACCCCACTAGCCACTGTTCTTAGAACTTACTGTTATGTGCACGGATGTTTTTGCCTGTATGTGTGTAGTCATGAGTGTGCCTGGTATCCCTAGAGGCCAGAGAGGTGAGGGTTAAGGCAGTTGTAGGCCACCATGTGGGTGCTGGAATAGAACCTGGGGCCTCTGAAGAACAGCCAGTGCTCTTAACCACTGAGCCAGCTCTGCAGCCTGTTCTTTTGATTCCCAACTCCACAATCTTTGCCTTCTTCACCTCACAGAAGGAAGTTACTATAGCTTTTAGAGTTGTTTAAA